TATTTTCAGCAAATTAGCAATAATGATTCGTCAATATTATCTGTAAGAAATGGAGAATAAAAGAACCTGAATTTATTTACATTAAATAAAATTATATTTTGTATTATCACCATTTCTTGGCAATTATTCGCTATTTATTCCCTAATTAAGTTTCAGTTTCGTTATAATAGTAATAGGATGACACTTAATGAAATATTTTAAGATTTGGCCACTACTGGAAGTCTGACGAAATTCGCATAAAAGTCCCTTCGGTCGTGTGAAAGAAATACACATTTTTTTCTTTTTTTTTTTTTTTTTAATTTATTTTCCTCTCTTCAAAGAATTTCAGTGAACAGAAGGCTGAATATTTTCAATGGAATAAAATTTTACTCAGTGAAACAGTTTAAAATTCTAGTTACCTTTTGATGTCTTACATTTTTTATATTTAAAACGAATTTCAAATATTTTTGCTTCCTGTGTCTCCATATTTTAAAATTTACTAAATTTATTCCTTTTTCACGAAAGAGTAAATAACTTATATTTAATAACACCCTATTCTATTTAGTACTCCAAATTGTATTAAACGTTCTGTAAATGTTTTGGAAATGATATTGCGTTTTTCGAAAAATATTTTACCACATTGCTGTGTCTATAGACACGAATGAACTGAAACTGATATTATTTCAACTATAAATGATGTTAAAGAATTTTTTTGGATAAACAAAATATGCTTTTCACAGTTTTTTCGTTTTCGCCTTTCACAGTTTTCGCCTCTTTAATGTCACGCAATTCTGTAAATTTTACAAGACAGCGAATAAATATATAACAATATTTTAATCAGTGAGGATATCAAAGTTTATTATTTTTGATTCCATGTAAAGTGACTTATTAAACAAGACGTGCATTTTTCAAAGATTTTATCTGATGCTTATTTCTGATCGGTAATCTTTCCGTTAATAATGGTTTCTATGGCGTGCGCAATATGTAATTTGAAAAGTATACTTTTATGTAGAGCACAAGGTTCAGCATATCAAACATAAAGAATGTTGAACTGGTTCTATAGATCTGAATTTAGCATAAAGAAATAAGCGAACTCTTTAAGATTTTGAGCACATTTTTGTATTTCAGTTATAAGCAAATAAATGCAAGTGCTGTCTGTAGCTGTATGTCTGTATTGAATAATGCATATATTTCTAAAACACAAATTCTATCCAGAAAAATGTGTCTGATACGTGTTTACGTGAAATACGTGTTTTTCAAGAAATCTCATATATTACTGGAAAACGCATTGGAGAACAAATGTTACTTAGGATTTTATTCAAACCACGTTCTCCATATATGATCTTCGGTCCCTTATAGTAAGGTTTACCGCCTGGCATTCTTTTTTTAGAAGCATTTACGAATGTAATGTGACCTCACGCATCTGATTCAAGGCTTATATGATCTGTAAACATTATCTGCTTATACTACACCACATACAGGAACTCAAAATTAAAAAAAAAAATTAATAATTTTCAAACTGACATTGATATGTATAAGAATTCTGTGCGTTTCAGAAGAGACTTATACGGATCCCTCTTATATAAAGAACAAAAATGTCTGATTCATTTCGCCCTAAACATTCCGCTTAATTAGATGAATTAAAAAATAAAAGCAACAAATTTAATTTATAAACTGATGTTTTACTCCGTTTTGAGTGTAACAACTAAAAGAGGGTTTTTTTTTTCTTTTTTAAATCTAATGGAAATTCAATTTGATAGGAAAATAGCAACTTAACGCTTTCACAGCGAAGTCTCCCGAAACGTCTGTGCATTCAGTCATCGACATGTCGCTGGAGAGCCTGCGTCCATTTTTCACCTGATGGTTTCTCGCTCAAGCTTCATTGGTTTCGAGAGTTGTTTAATGGCATGCCACGAAAAGTAGCTCTCTTATTTGAATGCACCTACCCTCTCCTTTATTAAACGTCAACGTTTAGGTATTGATGTTCGTACTCGTAATCCTGCTAAGGGGAAACTGCATACAGTTGGTGAAACCAAGCATAGATTCTCAAGGGTAAGCAATCACTTAAGTAGGCTATTGTTAACGATGTATCATTCTACTTGACATGAGGCAAAGAAATCTATTTAAAAAAAATTGTATTCACGTTTTGTTTGAGAGAAACAGGTTTTGACCTGTACCAACGCGCAAGAGTTCAAGATATAATTGTTGGCACAGAAAACAATTACAGACATAGTAGAACTAGGAGAGTTTGCGTAAAATAATTTTGTGTGCAAAGAATAATTTACATATGGTAGAATCTGCACAAAATTCTTTCTATTCGCATCGTTTGTCAAGATTCATGCACATATCATGTGATGATGTAGAGGTGGATTTAATGCAGTGCAGACTGAATACTTACCTTCAGATCATCGATGGGTAATCCGTCCTCTGGGAAGGGCAATTGAACATGGACACTTAGGCCGTCTGAACTGATAGTCAAAAACTATGTATGGTCTTATATAAATGCGTTCGACACGTAACCAGATTTATTCATTTCACATCAATCTACTTTTAATATTAAAATATTTCTAATTCAGTATCTTTCTGGGTTCTTCATGGTCCAAGTTATCCAGCCATTAGCATTTCTTCAGCTTTCAATTTCAGCAGGTAATGGGTAGAACCCCATGTATAATGGGTAGAATATTTCGACACACGTGTTCCCTTTTTTCAAAAAGTTCTATAGTTTGCATAAGTGATAAAAAATTTAATATTTTATATTCCACTGATAGATTAGTTGCGAGGTTTGGCGTTGAGTGACAGCCAGGTCAACGCCATGGGATCACTCTTTAACGAGCTATAGCCGCTAGAAATAGACTGAATGTATCTCCCTTTCGAACTTGAAGTAGTTTAAAGTCATTACAACTGCGCACAGCATACTTTGCTGTATTTCAGCGGCCTCAAACTGGCCACCCGAATCAATTTCCGTAGTTCGTGACTACGTTTTCTCTAAGTTAATTAGCATCATTATTATATAAATTATTGAGGCAATTACCTGAAGAACGTTTTAATATTTTAATGATTTTGAGACAGAATTTACATTATTTTCATTGACATTAGAAATGAACGTGAGTTATATCCCCGAAAAATCTCTTAACGGAGCTAATTAATTTACATTGTGATATAAGTCTCATTTAAAAATTTGAAGATACAGACCTGATTAACTTTCATTAGCACTCATCAAAAGATAAACAACTTCAGTTACGACCAGTCACCTTCAGTTTTGAGACCAGTTTTAAAGAAGTATTTATAATAAAAAAGATTATTGTCGTCACAATATTATTAAGAGAGTCGTGTTTACCATAAGCTGAAATAAGCAGATTTGACATCTCGCCGTAAAATAATATTTTATTTAAGAAAATTAGTAATGAAACCAGTTAGGAATGTTTGTAGCACCATTTTTTAAAAAAAATAATGGACTGACTAAAAATTTATAACTGAAAATTTTATTTTGAATAAGGTGATTTTGAGGCTCATATTTAATTCTTTTCGAAATAGAGTTCTTCACATTGAGTTAAATTTTTACAGGAAATATTTACAGAAATGAACATGAAATTGTATTAGAAAAGATTTTTTTCGGACACTTTGGTTGATAATACCAAGAAAACATTGCACTAATAATAGGATGTGTAGAGAGTATTCTGAAGCTATTTTAAAGATTTCAGACGCTGGTCCAAATGCCGCAGCAGCAATATGTGGTCAGACAAAATGTCCAGATGCAAAAACCGATTTTATGAGCAAATTCAATTTTTATTCCTCATGGTTCCAAGCAAATGGATTTTCAGCCGTTTGCACAATAGTTATCGTTTAGTGTTTTATCATAGACTGCAATGTTCACATCGTAAGCCCAACTGGATGGCGCTCTTACAGCATGCTTTTTCGATCACTCGTGTGTCGTCGTCTTTAAAGCTTGAAATATTGGAAAACTTAAAATATTGGAATTGCTCTCAAATTGAAATATTGTTTTTACAGCAGTATGCGTACCGTATTATTTCAAATGTTTCATAGCCACTGTTCCCAAATTTAATACAAAATTCATTCACTCCTTAGTATTTTTCAGAGAACTTTTTATTAAAGCAAAATGTGCTAGGTTTCTTCTCCATTTGATCAAATAGTAAAACTCATTGTTAGGTGCAGGCATGTGGGTGTAACAAACCATATCTAACATATAGGGTCGCCATATCTAACATCGGGAAAGACGTAATCTTAAAATAGTTCAATCAAACTACAGTAGAAATGGAAAAGTAAAATATAAAACCATCTTTGAAGATTCTTAGAACAGCTATATTGGACTTAAAATCATTTAGGGAAATCCATATGTTTTGATGAATATGGATTATTTCAAAATATGTAATTCATCTGCTAAAGAATTCTTAAAAATAATTTTAGTGGAACAAGCGTTGTAAAAAATACTTAAAGAATCATAATTTTTCTTCTAGAAATGTAATGGATGTTTCCCTTATTCAGTTTTACATCGTGAATTTAAATACTGAACTTCCGAAAAAAACTGCTCAGAATATTTTGTCTCTTGAAAAAGTATGATCCGCGTCAGTTTTGTTAAAAGTACTATGGAATTTTCTGTAGAATAAAACATTGAACTAAAACTGAATTTTTTTAAATGTGAAACGCAAAATTTTATCTTCTGTACACCATGCACGTTTCATGAGTATGCATGTACCTAATCTGCGCTCAAAATATTAAAAAAAAAATTAATTATATAATAAATCATACTCATAAACTGCCCATGTAAAGAAATAATACGTTCACTACTCCTCACATTTAGTACATATAGCTGCATCTAAATATTTAAGTACATACAGAAAACACTTTCACTTCAAACACACTTTGACGACATACATTGCACTTTCCTTTCATGAATCAATTACACAACATTAGCATGAAATTCAAATCGAGAGACGGTATTTTATCTTAACTTAATCCACAACCCGATCACAGTTGGCTCAAAATCAAATAGTTCTACTTACTTGATCCACTCGAACGTTCTCAACGGTGAAATTAAACCAGACCCTGTGTCTTGGATTTGCTACATCAGGACGGACATACAAGTCATAGTCGAGTTCCCCTACATAGTCTACTCTTCCGAGATTTCCTGAAAAAACAAGAATAGAATAAAAAAAGTCAGCCAGGGAAGAAATGAGCCTGGAAACCAAATGGGATATTTACTTAAGTAGGTCCTATGTATTCAATGTGCAGATTTCAATACGGAGGGAGAAATGAATGCACAGAGAAAAATATGTATCTCAGAGACGAGACATAACTCGCTTTATTTATGGAGATGAACAGCAAAAAGGAAAATAATATCACCGTTTGCCTTTAGTTCACTGAATGTTTGGTATATTCCCTCCGGATGCTTTTTCTAAGAGCTAAAAGAAACATATTTTACCGCAGTTAATCTCAGAACAGTATTAGAGCTTACAAATGAATACTTTCGAATAATAACAATATAATATGAATATTAAAGACATGAAATCTTATAGCTTTTTACATTTCTTATGATATATAAACAAAAAAGTAATAAATTTTATTTTGAGATAAATAATTATGTTAGATTATTTCATTTACGCAAAACATACGCGGAGTACTAACAAACCTCCATCCCAAGGCTTATGGAGACATCTGCCAATATTTTCTCCAACGGACTTTCTGATTTACATTCTTTGAACCGTCGCCCAGACGGGAAAGTGGTTAGTGAATGACGTACCAAAGTTCGAATCCCGAAGAAGACGTAAAGAATCCCGAAGACATATACGGATGTAAACTGTTTGTCCCTTCATAGGAGATAACGGTGGTCGCCTTCTAGGTACAACCATAATAAAATAGCCTTCCGGCTTTAGTAACGGCCAAAGCCTGAAATAGATAGTGCCTACCATAAACAAATAAATAAAAACATTTAAAATGTTTGAAAGATTTCAGATGTCATATTACGCCCAAAGAGTTGTTTTCCATCTTTTAAGCATTTATATAACATACACGTTTCAAGAGCATTTGGGCTAACGCCCCTTTGGGCTAAAAACAACATATCTTTAGAATTTGAGATAGAAAGTCTCGTGTGCTGGAAATAAGAATATTTTATTCCGCATAGTGCTCGCTTTGAAATCGTTGAGTTTGTTAATCAAAAATTCGTTAAAGTTTAACAAGCATGAAATAGATAATAAAAAAAATCGAAATTCAAGATTTGGGCTTCCAGGTATCCATATTGAGGTGGATACGTTATTCGAAATTTGATGGCTCTAGGGATAACCGTTTTATCACAATGCGAGAAACATTCATACATTCATGCAGATTCTTCATTATTTAATTTATTCAAATATAATATAGGGCGATAATATTTGGTGGCAACAAATTTGAAAAGCGATAAGGCCGTTTATAGTGATTCGACGCAAAATGCCGTTTCGAGACTAATATCCCTTCTGGGCTAACGCCCTCTTGGGGAGGAAAAAAAACTTTTTTGAACCTTCATCGCGCAAAGACGCACAAATCTTTTCCTGGACTCGGGCCGAACCTGTGTTCAGCATCTAACCTCACTCTGTAGCGTAACCTTTTTTCCATCAAAGATAGCCTACGCAAAATATAGTTTAGCTTTATGATCTTAGTAGATCTAACACTAGTATTCACAGTGTTCATAATACGTTTTGCCTTAAGGAACGACTTTGTCAGACTACAGCAGCTTTCAAATAGGAATTCGTGGTTTAGCGATTCTAAGCTAGTAGACCTTTGTATGCAATAAATATAGCAGAAAAATCGAAAGGGAGTATAAAAAGTAAATTGTTTACAGTATAAGTTAACTTCATCGTTTATTCATATAAATTTCAAATAAACTTAAAACTTATGCGTAAACATAAAAATTAAATTTTATGTGAAACAACTTAATGTGAAAGTCAATTCGCATAATAATAATTTCAAGACCATTAATGCAATGCAATTATTTAAAACCGTGTTTAATAAAATTAATTTCAAAGACCAAGGATTTTACGTAAGGGTTGCAATAATTCGAAATTTCTTTACGTTAGTTATGTTTGTCCTTTAGACACTTTTTATTAACCTTGATGATACGGGGCTCTTATACATTAGGGAAATGAATTACTGAAAAAGCAAAATGTATGGAAAAATTGCAATACTTTTGAATCTGAAAATACATAAATTCACATTATTCTTAACCTGAATAACCTTATTTTAGTGTGCTTCTACTAAAATTTATTACTGAGATACTTTTATGTACCTTAGTTAAAGAGTGTTTCATCATAATAATGTATAGTGATGTGCTTCTTAAATTGCTTCTGACAAAATTTTGCATTGATTGAATTTTTCTCCAAGTATATTACTTGAGTAGTCAGTGCCAAAATTAAAAAATAAAGATTTTTTTTTTTAATCTTTTACCTCGTTTTACTATTTACTATAAAATATACAGAAAATAGGAAATATTTATGTCATTGCAAAGAGCAATGATTTTATTTTTCTTATTTCATTTTATTGAAATTTATTGAATTTTATTTATGAATTAAATTATTGTTAATTATTTTATTGAATTTTATTGAAATTTATAAAATAAAATAGTTAGATATGTTAATTAATTAACAAAATTTTCTTGAGCTAATTCTAATTTTCTTTCAGAGTTTGAAAACATACTAATCTTCTTCATTGTTTGCATTTAGTTAAAATAATCTAGTTTATACCAGCTTAGATTTATTTTAATTTGCATAGAATAAAACCTACTTCGAGAGAACTTTGTAATCACTCAGCAATTTGAACAAACATTTAAAATAAGATGTGTGTGTGTGTGTGTGATTATGGCGAAGCCTCGATGGCTATCTGCCTAAGGGGAGGGATGCCTTCGTGGAGGACTTTCTAAGGGAAACTGGCTCATATACACGTTACACATGGGGAAAACCACGAAAACACCCATGCAGCCAACCCGTTCGCGGGATTCGAACCTTGGACCGAACTACCAGTGTTTAGCGACTTTACCGTTTGGCAGCTGGTGGGCCCATTTAATAAAAAAAAGGGGGGCATGAGATTGTTAGTTGAAGTCATTAACTAACCGAAATTTATCCTTTAGTTCCATGCATACCAACAAGACATATTTTATGATTAAAAAAAACATTGAATTTCGATTTAATTTTAGAATAATTAACAAGTCAAGAATTACTTAAGTAAAATTTCATTACCTCTGAATATCTATGTTAATGATGCCCAAGGAAACAACGCATTACAAACTATTATTCCAATAAAATATATTAATGTAATAAAATATATTAATGTGATAAGATTTTGTGGGGGAACTACCTGTTGAATTTCAGTAACAAAAATTATTTATTTAAGGAAATTTGTCATCAGTATGTTTTTATGTATAAGTCAGTAAAACTCTGAGGGAGAAAAATATACTTCACAAAGCCATGTTGTAATTTTAAATGTAACAGTGTGTTTCTGTACCCTAATTTTGTAACTTTTCGAAGAGACTTTTTTCAAAATCCACTGCAGTTGTTTGAAACTGTTGTTGGCCTAATAATTATTTCTTTCGTAGTTAAAGTCTCATGTAATTTAAAACTAAAGAAAAGTTATTTTTCCATCTAGTTTTGTTTAAATCAAAATAGTTTTACTTAGTTTAAGAAATTCTGCTGAATTAAATAAAGATTGGTAGATTTTTATATTCATTTATTTTAAATTAATTTATTTTAATAATCTTTCTTTGAATATTCCATTTAATACTTAAGTCTACTGAAGCATATTTTTATGCATACATTTCAAAAAAAATTTTCAGAGTTGTATAACTCTTAAAGAAACAGTACATTGATTCCTAAATAATGCTAACTTACTCGGAATTATAAAACATTCCGAAATCAAAATTTAAATACAGTATATTCAGCTGTCATCAAAGGCTTCGATAAGTTTCATTGATAAGTTTATATAGCTTCGATAAGTTTCATTGATAACTTTTCGATAAGTTTCATTGATAACTTTTCGATAAGTTTCATTGATAAGTTTCATTGATAAGATAAATTTCTTCGATTGACATTCAGCTGTCATTAGTCATCAAAGGCTTCGATAAGTTTAAATAAGAAAAATCTTTATTATTTAGTCAATTTTTGCGCTTTAATGTTTTAAAGAAGTCTAATGATACGCCATCATGTGTTATTTTATAGAAGTAAAATTTACTTATGTATTCGTATTCTTTTAAAAGGGATGTTGTCGCATAAATACCATATTATAAAAGCATAATTATTTTGAAGTCATTTGTGTCTTTAAAAAATCAAAAAGCCCTTACTCTTACTTTTGAAGAGCGTTTTATGATATTTTGGACACATTCCAATCTGCCTTTCATTCAGGAGAAAAAAGGTCGTATCTCGAATTAATTCAAAAAATTTAATTTATTATTTTTTAGGATTTTCAAAAGATGACATAAAATATTTACATATGTCATAAAATGTAGTTTTGTTTGTAAAATATCGGAAGATTTTGACAGCTCTCAGTGTACATCTAGACTTACTTCGTTAAGTGTAAAAGTAAGAACAACCATTAAACTAACATTTAAAACCTTAGGTTGAGTCACGTTTTCCAAAAAGGCTCACATTTCTTAACTTCATCACAGAAAGTAAATGTTTTATATGTATAGCGTCTTATTTGGCATATTTTGCTATTTGGGGATACAGACGAAAGTAAAATATCCGACATGGACACCATATGGCTTCCTTCTTTGGCCTATTAAATTATACACATTTTTATGCACTTCATTCAAACTTATTTCCTCAAACATCCTTTTTTTTTTTTTTTTTTTTTTTTTTTTTTTTTTGTCAAATCCACTTGGATTACTTTGTGACACAGAATAAACACGTGCCCACAGAATAAAAGACTATTTTTGCTAAAACGAATTGTAAATTGCATTTAAAAGGGATTCAAAAAGTACTTTTTAATGACATTTGTATGTATGAATGTATCTCGCATAACTCAGAAACTATTAGCTGTATGAGACTGTTAACCAGAGAACAGGGGCTCCATTACCTAGCTGACGTAATGTCTGCCTTACACGGATTAAAGTCCCTGCCTCCAGAAGCTATTTATTATGACTAAGCAGAATAAGTTTACAGTGGCATA